TATTACCTCTTATGTGTTCAACTGTTAAATGCAAACTGAGCTGGGCTGCCTCTATTTGCAAGAATGACTTCAATAAAATCTGCATTTCAGTCCCTTTCCACTTTCTCCTCCACAGTATTCAAGTCTTACTTGACTTGGTAATGACAAAATCCTCTCTAAGGCACTGCAGCCAGTATAGTTAAAAAAAAGTTATAGCTAACATTCAGAGTACACAATGAATTGACGCTAATGCTTGTCAGACAAAAACACGTGCAGTCTTTGAAGGAGGCCAAGGCGACTGTCCATCTTTCTGCTTGTGTACTGGTTTTGCATGGGAGAATCTGAACTGAAGACGTAACTAGACCGAAAAAGAGTGGAGAATACAAGCAAGACGCCATCTCAGTCATCTCTGACTATCAACCAAGAGTGGACCTAGTCAGACTGCAGCAAGGAAACGTTTATGCAACACTAGTATCTCTTCTTGACACTTTCCTAATGTAAAAGAACTTCTGTAATGCAGAAGTTGTAGGGCAAGGTGTAATCACAACAACAAATAGGTTTAGGCACTTAAAAATGCAAGACAAAAAAATCCACTCAACTCTCAATTGCTATTGTAATTAAAACAATACAAGTGAGTATATCCAGAAATGATGCTCTAATTAAATCATTTGCACACTATGTTGACCTCAAGTACATACAACTGAAATTGTATGCAAGTAACTAGGGTTTAATAACATATCAAAAGATTATTAAGAGTTTTAGATGAGCCTCATTACACTTAACAAGAACAGCTTGTACCATGGGGCAGCAGAACTGCTATGCAAATGCATACACTTCATGGGCCCACCTCACACAACCAGCAGCACTGCTCCTTTTCCTTCTTTGGCATAATTCTCTGCCAGGGCCTGCACATCTCCCTCCCCCARGCACCAGTGCATTCTCAAAGCTCCATATTGCTACAATAGAGAGTAAATAAGTGAATAAAATGACCGTGCCAAGAGAATTCTGCTTATGAGCTCAGCGAGCACAACTGAGGTCTACTCAGTTTCAGATAGAATGAAGCCGACTGCTCCATGCTCTCTGTGCTAGAGCACCGGGGTGCTCCACATCCATGAGGAACCCTGGGCCTAAGGCTCTGCTGGCCAGCACTGCAGACTATGAGGGCAGGAAATAGGGAACTGTATCTCACAAGCACTTTATATCAGATAGATAAACTCTTAATACCAGAGAGAAACCTTGGTTAATTCTCAGCCTGTATACAGCACTCCTATTTTTAACCTCAGTTGCACAGTCATTTGAGAGTTCAGCCTAGAGTTATCAAATCATCTACTTGCCAATATTCATTCTTGTGTAAGTGGATTCCCCCCACCCCAGAATGTATCTAAAGTTCTAAAAACAAGAAAAAAAAGTCTAATTTTGTATAAGAAACATTTTCAAGTAAAGGCTTTAGTTCTGTGTTGCAGCAAGTATAATTTAGCTTCAAGTTTCTTATTCCAGAGAGGTATTGTTAGTAGTTTTAGTCATTTTTTAGTTAGCATTTTTAGTTAATATTTTTTGTATGCTTCTTTTAAACGGGAATAAAGTTTTATTTTTAAGCTTGGCACAAGACTTCCTAAGGGAAAAATGATATTTTGCATTATTTGACAGTTTAATGACTACTTCTGTTTTAAATTTMTCATAGAAAAACATTTGATTTTCTTTTCAGCTGTGTTTAACTTATTATTCAACATAATTCCCGATACTCAACATAACTTAATATGAATATCAGAAACCAATATGAAAAAGATGTCTACTAGAAGAAAAAAWTACTTCAGGAAATGGTGATAGGATATAAGTACAAAGATTTATTTTAAATATATCTATTAAGTAGAGGGTTTTTGTTTGTTTTCTTTTAAATACAATCTCTATAAAAAGATTATGTAAAAGCTTTGTCTGACCTGTCAGCAAGGCCTACCATGCCACTAAGGGCAATGTTTTGGATTCAACTTTTTCACCTCTTAAAAACGCCATGTTCTAGCAGGTTGATAAGCTGTCACGCCTTGTGGAAAATAGTAGCAATTTCAAAAGGGCTTTCAAACATGCTCTCAACAGCTACAAATACATTGACAGCTTTGTCGGGGAAACAAAACTTCAGGAAGTTCTGGAGAAGCTTCATGGCACACAMGTTTCTGGTGTGATCTTTGCTCTCCCCACTAAACCTCGGCCTAGGTTTTAGGGGTCTTCAGAAGGGAAGGTGGTAAGGTAGACCATGCTTCATTACAACATTGATCAAAAAAATACATGTATCTAGTGGATCCACTGACTAGGGTTTAAAATAGACCTAGTCAATGTATGTGACTGGCACTGTGGATAGGTTTTACACAAAAATATCTCCAAATGGTTGCATATCTGGAATTTTTGCTAATTTCTTTCAATCTTTATTTCTGCTCCCAGCTGTGAGTACACAAAAACTCATCATGATTCCTATTTTTTATAGAAAATGTAGAAAGCATTGTAAAAATGCATTTTTCATGTAGAAAGCATTGGCAATCCAGACAAGTTTAGGATGAAGACTAGTATAATTAGGTTAAATATGAATGCATATTAAATCCAATAGGATTCTTATTTTGTGCTCAAAATGATACAGGAAAGAATTAAACAATAATAAATGCCCTTTTACAAASGAGTAGAGGCTTACTAGCCTAAGTATATACACAATGTTCAGAGTGTTATTTGATTTTATCTTATAAAACCAGCACTATCTTCAGAGACAGCAACACATGGGGCTGCATGGCTCTCAGAACAACAGCACTTTCTCCRCACTGCTGGAAATCTCAAGTAAACAACATAAGTTTACATCCAAAACAAACAGGATAAAGATCTAATTTCCTCTAAGTTCAGGAAATTGTATCTTCATTTGAAGATGTATTTTATGGAATCTTCATGCGTACAAGCTTTTTGGAAAACATGTTTAAAGAAAAATTCCAACCTGGTTATTTCAGAGAGAATAGCCTGAACATTCTGATTGCATCTTCGCCTATCTCCCTTAGGAGGAAAAAAAAATAACCAAACAACAAGAACAAAAGCCCACCAAAGCATTGTCTTAGGGAAATACAACTCATTCAATGGTGCAAGATGAGGAGGGAGGAAAACATAAGATGAGTTATTCCAAGAACATTTACAACAAAAGCAAATCTTTGCACTCAAAGGCACATAATAGTAAGGGGATTTTAATAATCAAAAAAGAATTCAAGATGAGATTGAGGAAGAGCAACTACAGTCTGAATTCACATCTGTTTATGTTTTCAAAGGCAATTGCCTAAGAAGAAATAGAATAAATTCAATTAAAAAAAAACCACACCAACTAGAACAAAAAAATACCCAAAACAATGATGACTTTTAAGATATGTCAAACTTGGATAAACTTGGACTGATTACCTTTTTAGATGACAAGTTTACCTTCTCTTTGGCAAACTTGAGATACTTTGTCATTGGAAGGATGAGGGGAAAGGAGACAACAAGTGGCAATGACAAATAAGATAAGGAAAGATGAGGAAGCACAAATTGCCCTTAATTCACTGTGTGGATACAGAACCAGCCAAAAGACACACACACACACACACACACACAAAAAGGCATCTGGAACCAAGTACTGAGACAGGAGGCGATGACAGAAAACAGCATACAGCTATAGTATATGAAGGTAATAGTGGGAAAGGTAGGAAGCAAGTCAAAGTGGCAGGACAGAGAAGGCAAGTCACAAGTCAACCACCTCTGGAATTTCACAGGTCATCGTGATTCCCCTCATTCTCCTTCTGAAGGACATTCATGTGTTGGCTGAAAGGTTATTCTGCAGTATCCAAAATATTATGGAATACAGCTAGGTTCCTATCTTGAACCAGAGCAAAACCAGTAACACTCTGGAAAGAGTAGGGATTTTACRTTTATCAATATTAAAACATGACTCAAACTCGATACACTATGTTATAACCACCTATCTGATGKGACAAGTCCCTCATCTCAACCATATAGCTTAACAAAAGTCTGTCCAATTAGTAATAGTATGCAGTGTTCATAATTAGGAGAGTCTCCAACTGGCTAACAGCACACAATGATTTATACTCTAGAAGCTAAATCTGTCCTATTATTATGGAAATGTCCTCTTTATTTCTTTTCTCATGAAAGGGTAAAAACGAGACACAGCAAAACTATCCRAAGAAAGTCCAATTATTTTTGAATGTTGTATACAAAAATCTTACCAAGAAAAACACAAAAACAAACAAGAAGATAAAACCTTTTAATGCCCTCCCCAGAAAAATCATCTAAAAGGGCAATTTGAATGACATTTTTTCATGCTGGCTRCAAAAAAGTAGTCATCGCATTTTTATATTTGCATTTGTCTTTCTTCATCTTTATTAACGCATTTAGTAAGTTCAAGAAAGTCAGATAWATTGTGACAACTTTATGAGAATACTTTATTATTCAAGGAATTGAAGTCAACCCCAATTAAGGCAAACAAAAGCAAATCTTACTAGCTGTAATTAAGGGGACAAATGACAATCACAATTCTGAATGACAAGGGTCTCTAATCAAGACTTAGACAAAATATCCAGCAAGAACTAGTACAGATTTGCTGTTACCAAACTTTGATTTGAGGTTTACTGGGTCATTACACTAAGAAGAAATTAGGCAGCTATGTTTAATGTGTGAACTACCACAGTTCATTAAGAAAGTATGTGCCCCTACTCACTCTCTCCCTACTAATCTGCCAGTCTTGCCTGGTACATACCTGGTATCTCCATAGGCTGCTTCAAAAGTTTTTGTGCCAGACTCTTTYTAGTTGGCGTCTTTCAGGATCCTCAGAAAGACACTACATTTTCTCTACTCCCATGCAGAGGAAATCCGGGCAAAGTCCTGCTTATGAACCCAGGCAAAGCAGGTTAGGCCATGCTTCTTATGCCTCAGTATTACAATCCTGGCATTGACCTCTTAAGGGGATTTCAAAGAAAACTCTGGAGAAGACAAGTCCTCATCGGGTAGCAGAAAAAGCCTCATGACTTGATCTAAAAATGCTCAGTTTAAGCCTCCTTCTTGCTCTCACCAGAGAGTCTTAGCCAGTTAATGCTGCTATTTCATGTAGCAGTTAATAGTCACTAGCATTTAGTCTCAGGGAAATTAGTACAGGTTAGATTCTCACAGTCCATAAATCAAAATGGTCAGAGTAGGAAGATCTTGCCTCTCAATTATGACTCCCCAATGAAACATCATAGGGCTAATTTCTGGAGAGAGAGGGAACAAGAGAAGTTGAGCTGAAATCAGTTACAGATGCTCAAAATTTCAAAGTAAAATCATATTTAAAATCAGCAGCAACTGCTCTAAGTAACCACCTGAAATACTSAGCATCGCTGCACAAAACTAAAACAGATGATCAACAGATCTTTAAACATTTGATTATATTCAGTAAGTATAATTCTCTCTTAAGGTCTTTTCTAGTATAAGCTGATATGGTCAGCTTTTTAAGAAAAGCAATTTGGACAAAACCATCAATTTTCTTATTAACTTGCTTTCAAAAAAATCAGATCCAATAAACACAGAAGTAACACTAAGTGATCCCTTGATAGACCCGCTCCACTCCTTTACATTAGGAAAAGTCTACCTGAGACAGCTTCYATTTGCTGTCTGAGAGCATTTATCCTCTTTTCCTGCCTTTAATGTTCACTTTTGTATATTCTCCTTCTGATGCTTAGTCCCAMCACCTGATAAAACAGAAGGACCATTTCAAAATTCCTGTTCTTCAGTTCAAAGCTGTTCCATTGCAGACCAAATAACTTCCAGCAATGTTTGGAGAGCATCCTAAAATTTGGTTACCAAACTGATGAAAACTTTGACTGATGCAGTGCAAATATCTAGCAGATACAATCAGTAYAGGCAGACTGATTGTCTGTTTCATTGCTTTGGTTAAATAGTAAATTTTTAGGTAGAATAGAGTGAATATTAATTAGTCAAGCAGCTCATGTCCTATTCATTTCATAGTAGTCTACATTCTCTACCAGTATACATTCTCCACCAGTATACATTCTCCATTAGCTATATTCCTGTAATCAATGCATCTATWAAAATGTACAGGAATTGACCCAATGTTGTAGATAGGTATTCATCAGAATCAGATTCAACTGCCTTGTAACTCTGGATGCAACATCTAACTTYAGAAACTTGAACAGATTGAGATAAATACAAAGCTCTCTAATCAGTACAGAATAAAATTAAGTTTCCCTGATATGTTGCTATGGTTGTTGCTAAAACAACATTATTTTTCTATTAAAATGTACTTAATTTTTAAAGACTTACTCATTTTAAGAAGTTTTTATAGCCTGAAGACATTAAAAGGAATAGAAAAAAAGGATAAATCATTATGATATTAATGAATTCTTCTCTTTGAATGCTTGCTGCTTTGTTTATATTTCTTAATTTATTTTGATCTCAGACAAGATAGATGCGAATRTCACAAGCTATGTATAACAAGCATTTTAATCCTGCTATATAACAGCTGCCTTCAAACAGGATTTCAAAGGATATTCAGTAAATTCTCTTCAGTTCCAACCGGCTGCTACCGCAAGCTACTGAATTACCTACTGATCTCCGAGGTCAGAGAGCTACAAGTGCCATGAACATGACTTGGACCAAGGAACACTGCTCAATATGCCAGTAATGAAGATCCCAGCCAGCACTCGGGGAAAACTCCAACAGACATCAAGGGTTTCCTGGGGTTGGAAATAAGTTGCTGCCTTCTGTACCTCAAAGACATGAATGACCAGTGGCAAAGAAATATAGTCTAGCCAATCCTACCAAAACTCAAATGAAACTTACTCTGTTTTAATTATGAAAATATCATACTGCTATTTAAAATTAGAAAATAGGCAGGGGGAGCAGTCAAGAAGAAATTTCCCTAGGWGAAAATGTGGACTAGCCCTATTCCCACAGGTACCTCTGCACCAAAGTAGCAAKGACAAGAACCCACACAGTGAAGCTTAAAGCTACAACTTTCCAAGCTAATTTTTAAAGCTTTAGCTGAATTAGGCTTCTTTGTAAATTCATATGGTTCAGATTTYGTTCAGTCACAGATCACCCCCCCACAATTATTATCCTTCTTATAATTCTTTAATTCTTTAAATTCCTTTTTGATTAGCTAAGGTGTGTATATATAGCTAAGTTTCTTAAGAATATAAATATGCATTCATTATGTTTGCATAATACTAATCAGTGCATGCACAAAAATTATTTACTAATATTTTATAACTGAAATGCAGCAAGGTTATCCTCTAATGGGCAAAGGCCTCAGGATGCCTTGCCTTTAAAAGGTGGTAAAGGGAGGTTACTGCAATGGTATGATATATAGCACCGAATTACACAAATTGTGATCGTTAATGTCCCATAATTTTTCACAGGAAAAACTTTGTGGCTTTCCAGGTGCACTTTTTATTTTGCTCACTAGAAATAGCATTTACATATGCAAAGGAAGCTTTGAAAACATCTGGGTTTCTTGAGAGGTAAGATGTTAAGATAAATACTAATAGCACAGACACACAAAGTTTTCTTGGTAACTATCTCCTTGGGACATTAGTTCAGGACATAAAACAGCAACTACMCAAGTCAATCTTCCTCTAAAGCTGAAGAGACTTGTTTTTGCGAATAAAACAGGAATTTCAGACTGCTTCTGCAAAAGGGAATGCTTTAACACTGGCAGATCTCTCTGCAAAGGAGCACTGATTCATCTCTGCTACAAGCACACAATAATTACTGTGACTCGACTTTTAAGATGCTTTTATGATAAATATGAACAAAGAAGCATTAACATAATCATGAGAAATTGTCCAKTTTTTCTCCTCACATAAACTAAACAATTTATGCAAGTGCTTAGTAACCCGCTACAGTTACATAAACAATAAATGTGACTATTATCTCCATCCAGCCCCTTGAGGTTCTATCAGATTCGCATTGGGGCTTGATTCATATGCCACAGGATTGCTGTTGCCTACAAGATCAGTATTTTTACTTCTGATAAAAAGCAGAGAAAGAAGAGAAGGAAGGAACCATGCCTGTTTTGGAGAGCCCCAGCTGAGCTCGTGTGAGCGGCTGCAATTTGAACTGAATCGCACGATCCTCTTTTTATCATGTTGCTTCTCAAAATAGAGCAGCAGCTGCTGGGCTGGGCTGTGGCAGGGAGAACAGCATCCACTTCATATAGCACAATAAACAGTGAGGGTGAGGGGGACAGGGAAGGAGAGGAGAGATCTTATGCTCATTGGATGAACAGGAGGACATTGCTCTCTTCCAGCTTAGTTTTCACAAAGCTCCACAGCAGATGGGTAAGAGCTCTGAAACTTAAGTGCTTTCTCTTCCTTACTTCTCCCTCTTATAAAATGTAGAGGAAATGGTTTTTATTTTTATTTTATTTTTTTTTCCATCTCCAGGCATCCTCACAGCATCCCGAAATAACACTCAGGGGCCTCATCCCTATTTCCTTATCTCCTTAAGAACTTCTCCCTTTACTACACTTCTGAAAGGCCCATTTCTGCATGAGATGTTTTCCCTGGGGCTCCTGTTCTCCTTGGTAAGCAGCACTGCTAATTAGTAACGTTGCATTAAGTGATGCACTGCCTTTATGACCTCCTAAAAAAGTTAACCACTGGTGGAGTTCCAAGAAGGAAGTCCTCACCATTTCATCTTCCCTACCCTTCAGGGCAAACATGACGGGACTATATTRCCCGAGTCCATAAGTAGTAGTAAATAACTTCTTGTACACATTGGACAACTCAACCAGTATCAACAGGGAAAACTGAAATTCAAGCAAGACAATCCTTGGAAAGGAAGTGTAAGAAGGAAATAGGTACAAGTAGATGTAGCAAGAGTGGTGGCATTATTATTATTAGTTGCTTTTTCAGAACACACAAAACATCTTTACTCTTTTGATCTGACTCATCTTGAGGTGACAGGGTTTTTGTTTGGTTTTGTTCATTTTTTTTCCTTGAGGCTTTCTCTCATTTTTTGCTATGCAGCATCTTCGCTGACTTCCATTTTGGTTGTCACCAGCTCGCTTTTGTGCTCTTCCTCCCTAGTCCTCCAACTCCCTCACCTTTTTCCTTCTGAAAACACATTGCAGGCTTCTTCCCTTTTTGGCAACTGCCTTAATATATCTTRAAGCTCTACAGGGCGTAGAGCGTCTGCAGCTTTCTCCTTGCAGTCAGCCAAGCCAACAAGTACTCCTTGAGCACTGCTCTCAAACACCATAGGAACAAACGCCATCAACAAGGTACGTGCAACCAAGCAWCTCATTCAAATCAGCCTCCAAAGTGCTGGCACTAGAGGCTAGAATATCTCTACAAAAACATCCCTATTTGTTTTCACTATACCTGATTAACGGAGATGCTTTTGACCAAGAATAACCTTGGGTGATGGAAACAAAACTAAAAGGGAATTTGGTTATTTCTAAATACTTCTAAACAAATTAACTTGCCAGAATCATTTACCTTCAGTGTTTTTAATGTGAAGGAAAACAAAACAAAAACAATTTTTCTTAAACAAAAATTGCTTTCTGAGACAGAAAACAAAATCGTTAAACCACAGAATGTTCCCTTTCATTTTGGACAGTGCATCAGAGAAAAAACTATTTTCATTTTAAATAAGGCCCCCCAAACATATGGATCTTTTTCCTTTAATTTGTCTAATACTTAAAAAAATCATTAATTCAGTCAGCAAACTGAAGTGGCTCTTTTTACACCGTGGTGTTATCAATACTTAGTTTAAGTATTAAAATATGGCTACTTGGACTAGTGTTTATTCATTCATTTTCTTTGCTGACCTCTTTTCAGCAGCGAACCTTAGATAACAGGTCTAGAGAGGACTGTTTTGGCCATCAAAACAATTTAGCTCTCCATAAAACAAATCTTTTACATCAGTGAGATGCTTTCCCGGATATCTTGCTTATCTATTATCCTCTAAATACCAAAAGGCTTTGCAAAGGAGATGACAGAAGTTCATGGGTAGGGCTTATCTCTAAAGTCAGTTTCAGATGCCAGTTCAAGGTCTTGACTTTAATCTTCAAAGCAATTAACAGATGAGCCTCTTCTACGCTGGAGACCAAATTGTTAGCTATAAATTTCTCACAGTTGTGCATCTCTGGGCTGATACTGACCACAAAGCCCAGACCAAGCTACCGGAGAGCTGGGGCAAAGCATTTTCTTTCACTGAAATCTGGCCATCAAACAAGTCTGCGTAGGAG